GTTAAAATGTTAATATTCTTATATACTGGGTTAAATTATTAAAGTTAATTTCACCTGTTTTTCCTTATTTTTTAATGTAGCTGCTAAAAAATTTTAAATCACACATGTGGCTCACATTCTATTTCTCTTAGCTGCATTGACTTAGACGCCCTGCAGGGTATAAGTACGGAGCTGCAGATGTCCATCCATCCATCCATTATTAGAGTATTTATTATATGCCAGGCACTATTTTAGGTGCTAGGGATATAGCAATAAACAAGACAGACACTGTTTCTGCCCTCAGAGAACTTACACTCAGGTATGGGGCAAAGGCAACAAATAATGTCTAGTCACGACAAGTGCCATGGAAATCAAAACAGGGTCAGCAGTATTTTGATGTGAGAGGAGTTGGTACTTCTGATAGGGTAATAAGTGAAGTGATATTTGAGCAGGGACCTAAATGTTGAGAAGACACAAACCATGAAAAGACCTTGGGGGAAATGTTCCAGGCAGATGGAGCTACAAATGTAAAGACGCTGGAGCAGAAACAGGCTTGATGTGCTGCTGAGCTGAGCACAGTCAGTGGGAAATGCAGTGAGTACTGAGAATGGTACATCACATAGAATCTTGGCAAGAGTGTGGACTTTATTCTAAGTGTAATGAGAAATTTGGGGGTCATTTTTTACAGAGGTATTATAACCTGACTCACATTTGTAAGAGAATGACTACAGTCTCTGTGGAAACAGAATGAAGGAGGGTGAGAATGGAGGCAGGGAGGCAAGTTAAGAGGCTACTGCATTCGTCCAGGCTAGAGATGTTGGTGGCCTGGACTAAGGGGGGAGGGGTGGAGGTGGTGAGCAGCAGTCAGATGTGGGATGTATTTTGAAGACAGAGCTGAGAAGACTTGCTGATTGGTGTGGGAAGAACAAACAGAATCAGGATGACTTGGGTTTCTGGCCTCAACAGCAGTGTGACACAGGTGCTGATGGAAAGAGAGGGACTGGTAACAAAACAGGTTTGGGGTATAACTCAAGACTTCTATTTTGGGCACGTTAGGTTTGTAATGACATCGAGTGAAGCTGTTTGATAAATGAAGTCTGCATAAAACTCAGGGAGGGATCAGGACTGGAGACACACATGTGAGTCAAGAGCATATGGGTGGCATTTAAAGCCATGGGAAATGATTAGATCACCTAGTAGAGAAAGAAAAGAGGGCCAAAGACTTGGCCCCAGAGCAGTCCAAACTATAAGTGTCAGGAGACAAAAAAGATGCAGTCAGTGAAGCAGAAGACGGTAATATTCCAAATCAAAATGAAGAACAAAGCTTTTCAGTAGGAAGTAGTCCACTGAATCAAATGCTGCTTGGACCATGGAAGTCTAATTACTCCAGGCACTTAGTAGCTCCTCCCTCCCAAGCTCTGACTCCTTTAGGGAATGAACCTTATCTTGTATGTGGGGGGTTTGCACATGGGCTTTAGTGCCAGAGATGTGGGCTCAATTGTTTTTAAGTTGTGTGACCTTAGGTAAGTTACTTATCTTCTCTGGACCTTGATACACATCGTCTGCATGCTCATCACTAAATACTCAAGTGAACTACTCCTATAGTATCCCATATGCACGTTACTCTGTCACTTGTGTATTTTAACTTCTTCACACCTCCATGTAGAGATAGTCTAGGACTGTCCTAATAGGCCAAAACAGGTTATGGTTATAGCTATGGTCAGACTTTAATCAAATAGTAATGTCTGAGCCTGACCTCTGCCACTTTTTATCTGTGTAACCATGGGCCAGTTGCTTAACGTCTGAGATGCCCCAGCTCTGTAAAATAGGAATACTGTATAATACCTCATAGATGGTGGATTATATAAAGATTAAATCAAACAGTTGGCTATGCTTGGCAGAAAAAAAGCTCACTTAACAGTATTTATCATCTTTGTGTCTACACCACCAATACTCTCAATACTTGTGGACTGACTGATAACTTGAGAAGGTAAGGACACAAGCAAGCCTTCTTTCCCTCCTTCTGGAATGCTAATGTGGAGAAAAGGAGGTAGTGTCAGCTGTTACGCCCAGTGAACTAGGCAGGGCCAGCATGGTGGATTATTGAGGCAAATACAGATTGCTAATTATTTTGGAAAATAGCAGGGATGTCTTCCTCGTCCACATTTTGTTGAGTGGATTCCCACCATCCACACTCTTTTTTTTTTTTTTTTTTTTTTTGCGGTATGCGGGCCTCTCACTGTTGCGGCCTCTCCCGTTGCGGAGCACAGGCTCCGGACGCGCAGGCTCAGCGGCCATGGCTCACGGGCCTAGCCGCTCCGCGGCATGTGGGATCTTCCCGGACCGGGGCATGAACCCGTGTCCCCTGCATTGGCAGGCGGACTCTCAGCCACTGCGCCACCAAGGAAGCCCCATCCACACTCTCAAGCCAGAAATTCAAGCATTATCTAAGATTCTTTCCTTCCACTCATTGTGCCACATCGTGTTAATTAACAAGGTGGCAATCTACTGTACTTTCAAAATGCCATATACTTCATCAAGCCTGAGATGCCGTCCACTGTTAAGACAGACCATTACTGAAGGATGACATACTACTGACATCTAGAAGCATCTAGGTCTGAGAGATTAAAATGTGGGGGAAGGAAAGTACATTTACAATTGATGAAATACAACACCTCTCAGTCCATCACCATCTTTGTTCAAACCTCCAACATCTCTTGCTTGGACTGGGTTGGAGGCTCCCAGTGGTTTCTCCCCCACTCATCCTCCACTGCCAAGATGAGCTTTCTAAAAAGGCCAATTTTACCAACTCCCTACCCCCAACCCTTCAATTAGCTCTCCTCTCATACCCACCTGGCCAATATTCTTCACTGTAGCGGCAATTCCCCAAATGTCATATTGCTTCTTGTCAGTGTCCCCCACGTGCTATTTTTTGTCTAGAATTGCTTTTCATCCAATTCCTCATCTACCTACCTCCTAGCTGTTAGAAGTAAGAGTGTGCTGGCTGGGACCTATCTCACTCCACCCTTCCCGACTGGCAGGATCACTCTGGTTGATATGGCTTGTTAAGTGGATATCCCTTTGTTCATTCACAAATAAACTCCATCCCAAAATAAACCCTGCCCTAACCCCCAAAGACAACCTTCCTACAGAGACAGTTGGAGCCTCCAAACAAGCTCTAACTCTTGCTTCTTTTTCAACACCCAAGCAGGTGTCAGCTCTTCCAAAAAGTCTTCTCAAATTCTCCAAGCTGAGTTAAGCAGCCCTCCCCGGTGCTCCATGATATTCCATGTGCACCTCTATCATAGTCCTTCTTATACCATGTTGTAATGGCTGACTTGCTTTCTTCCCCACTAGACCGTAGGCTTCCTGGAAATAGGGGCCTGTCTTACTCACCTGTGTCATTCTCCAGAATCTGGAACCTGGAAGGCACTTAACACTCAGTAATTAAGTATTACTCACTTATGGATGGATAGGTGGATGGATGAGTGAAAAATGGTTACTGTTTATAATCACTGGGTCCTAGTCCCCCTAGGAGATGCCACCTCCAAAATCACTTCACAATGCTACTTTCTCTAAGCTTGGTTAACTGGCTTAATCAGGAAAGCACAATGGCACCACCTGGTGGTCAGTGCCAGGAGCACACCTTATTGAACAGAAGAAAGTTTGCTCCTGAATCACACTGCTCTCTGTTCCAGTGGTTAGGATAGATGTCAAGGGTGAGGTGGATTTGCATTTTCAAAAGATCAAGCTGATGACTGAATACAGAATGGACTGGAGAAGCGACCAGAGGAGGAAGCAGGAACACTAGGGGGAGGTTATTCTGTCAGAGCTGAGAGTCACGTCCAGATCTGTGACTTCAAAGCCACCAAGCCTAACCACTTTGTAATACTGCCTCTTCCAGCCACAGCCTTCCTTCTCCCTCTCAACTGAGCACTGCGGCACACAGATTCTAAGATTCAAGAATTTCCACCTTCTGGTATTCATACCCTTAGGTAATTACCTCCCTTGAGTGTGGGCTGGCCTAGTGACTTGTTTCTAATTAACAGAGCACAGCCAAGGTATGAGATGTCACTGCCATAACTTCCATCCTGCTAGCAGACTCTCATCCTTGTTGGCTTTGATGAAGACAGTTGCCATGTTGGTAAGACTCATGTAGCAAAGAACTAAGGGCAGCCTCTGGCTAACAGTTCATTACTAAACAGAGCTCCACAGTCCTACAAACCCTTGAGGAACTGAAATTCTGCCAACAATTTAAGTGAGCTTGGAAGCAGATCCTTCTTCAGCTGAGCCTTCAGATGAGGACATAGGCCTGGCCCGTAATTCGACTGCAGCCTTGTGAGAAAAGAAACCCTGAAGCAGAGGACCCAGTTAAGTGTGCCTCAACTCCTGATCCATAGAAACTCTGAAATAATAAATGTGTGCTGTTTAAAGCCACTAAGTTTGTGGTAACTGATGCAGCAATGGATAACAAAGCACCTACTCAAAATGTCATTATCATGCAAAACCTTCTGAAAATCTGGGAAACTTTCTGTAGTAAGAATCAACTACTATACCACTAGTGTGTGTGTGTGTCCCATTTCCTGCAGCCTCCCAGCCAGAGGCTTTCGTGGCTGCCTCCAGAGCATCCTCCTGTGAACTGAGTGACCAAGTATCATCTGTGCGACCTTGACAGAATCTAGTCCCAACTTCTGCTAGGCCTTTGTGGACCATTTACAGCTCACAAGGAGCGAAGCTTATAAGGAAAGGCCTTTAACACCAGGATGAGATTGTGGCATTACCAAGCAGATCAACACAAAGGACATTCATCCCCAGAAAGGAACTTGGGCAATTTGATTTCAAGTACAGATCTCTCACTCTTTTTACAGCATGTTGTAATAGATTATATGGCACTGAAGAAAGTACAGCAATGCTGGCTATGCTATCAATTTAGCTAATTCCACTGAACAAACAGGAAGTGGGGTAGAGTCCCACAAGAGCTCAGTCAGAATCAGCATAGAGTAACTCAGCCAAAAAGCTTCTGTTAAGTTCCTGAATAATTCAGGTCAAAATGAATTTTAATCCGAGTTAACTCATAATCAACAGGTTGGCTGTTTTTCTTGTTTCTCACCCACTGTCCTATTCTCTTTTCCACAATATTCTAAAGTTGCCACTTAATGGATTCTTCCTGCTGCAGATGGCGGAACTCTGGAGCTCCTGCTCAGTGGGGCTAGAGGGTGGATTCATAACGTTGTTAGTGGTAGCCTCCAAAATCTCTTCCAAGTCTAAAATTCTGTGAGTTTAGAGGCTGACTGTCCCCAAACCTGGCCATTGCTGCTGCCTTAAATTCTCCAGTCATCCTAGCTCAGCAGAAAGAGCAGAATGGGACAAGCCAAACCTTATCAATCGTGCAGAAACACCAGAACCACACACTCGCTCGCGAGCCAAGCCAAGCTGTTTATCATCTGCCAGTACCCAACATTCCGATTCCCAGACGAATCTGAAGCTGGAGTTGCACCAACTGTTCAATAGCCACAACCCCAATCTCAAACACTTCTAGTTACTAAGAGACTAACAACAGTCCTCTCTGGAAAATGACCTGCCAATCTTTTCGAAGGAAGAAGAAGCCCTTCTTTCTCTAATGCTCTGACTTATGGGAGAACAGATGGAGATAAAGGAGAAGGAAAGTACACTGGCCAATACTCTGAAACTGACGAGTTGAGTATCTGTGACCTGCAGAGGATCCCAAAAGAGACTGATGTGATTCTTTACCATCCCAACTAAAAGTAATAACGACAGCATTTACATTCACACAGGACCACCTTCAAAGAAGTTCATGATTCCCCTACATGCCCTCGATTCTCATGCCACCTCCCATCAAGGCAGAGATTGGAGCAACAAGGAGGTGACAGGTCCTAGCCATGACAGCCTTTGTCAGAGTCCACTCTCAGTGGAAGTGAAGCCCTGGAAGCTGGGTTCAGTGCTCCGAGGCAGAGCCACTGGCTGGCTTAGCAACTTGGTCACGATGCTGATTTTAGCATCCTGCTTCTCAGCGTCCTCATACGGAGTCCAGGACAAGTCGTGCTGTAGCTTGTACGCACCAAGGAAGTCATGTGGACAACCTGTCCCCCATTCCTAGAGAAGGCAAAGGAGTCAGTTCTGATCAGGGCAGGAGATAAAGAAACTGAGCTTGTGTCCTAATTCTACCACAATTTTCTTTTTTAGCTTTTCACTCCAGACCAGTCAGAATCATTCTTGGAAACCATTACATTACACATCAGATACCTCCCTTAACAGAGATAATGACTGTGAAATAATTTAAGCACATGCATATTTTTCAGAGTCATGTCTGGGCTCACGCCACCTCCAGTTTTCTAGAAAACCACTTCCCAACCCCTATACCTACATTTTCTCACACACAACACACACCACACACACACACAAACACACACCCAAGAATTTCTCAAAGACAAGAGTAGATTTTTGTGCAAAAATTAAATGTTCTTACCTTTGGAGAAATAATGGAAAAATACCGCTGACCACTCTCCCGTTTATAAAGGTAGTAAATGTTGCCAGGTTTTTTCACTATATTACAAGCTACATGGTGCAAATCAGCATCTCTGCGAGCATCCTCCAATACCTAAGAACCGCAGAGGTGTAACCAATTAGGTATTAGGTAACAGGCACTCATACTCAATGACCATCCCACTCAAAATCTGGAAACCGTTCGATGCCTAGGGTCTTGCTCCCCCACAGCAGTGAATCATGACTGAGATCCAGATGATACTGAAGAGAAAAATTACACGATGTTACGCTACTATGCTGTAAAAATGCCTTAGGAAAACTGTATTTCAAAACATTGAGTGTTACTGGCTTTTGAATGGTTTTTACATTTCTTTCCAATTTTTCTGTGGTCAGTACATTTCTATCATAGTTCCCCCTCAAAATGCTTTATCTCACTGAACTTTCTCCCAGTGAAAACACTTATACTTAACCTCTTGGTCTTATTCTATTTTACTCAACACTTCTATATTTCTAGGAGGTACTGAAACAAGTAAGTTACATTGATTATAAGCAAGTTCAGTCAATCCTATGAACTAAGCGAAGAAAACGAACACTTACCTAAAAGCCACTACTTACTTTCCTGGCTTGTTCTTGCAAATGTTCGATTTGCTCAGCTATGACTGTCAGCTTGTTGGTGGCATTTGCTCTGACAAATTCATTAGCCTAAGGTGAGAAAAAAACTGAACTGTGGGTCAAAAAAAGGATAAGAAATCTACGATGTTCTTATTTAGATCCCAATGTTATGTCAACATCTTTGCTTATGCCTAAAATACTCTTCCCATTCTCACCATTCCCCCATGAACGCCCACTCATCGCAAGGCCCAGCTCAAACAGCACTGCTTACAAAAAGCCAATGCTGACACGACCCACACCACAGGAATAAGTGCTCCTTTTCTTTTTTTTTTTGCGGTACGCGGGCCTCTCACTGTTGTGGCCTCTCCCGTTGCGGAGCACAGGCTCCGGACGCACAGGCTCAGCAGCCATGGCTCACAGGCCCAGCCGCTCCGCGGCATGTGGGATCTTCCTGGACCGGGGCATGAACCCGTGTACCCTGCATCGGCAGGCGGACTCTCAACCACTGCGCCACCAGGAAAGCCCCATAAGTGCTCCTTTTCTATTTCCCAAAGTGTCTACCTTGTTCACTCTAGATTCTAGTCACACTCAAAGTTTTCAGTCTTCCAACATGCCCTGTTCTCTCTTGCTTCCAAATAATATGGAATATGCCCTCTCCTCCACCCAATATGTTTCCTTCTTGCTCTTTTGCCTGACTGACCCCACTTATTCCTCAGGTCTCCATTTTTTTTTCTCACATTTAAACATTTCTGAAATCGGGGATGGGTTTTACCATGAAAATCCAAAGACACTTGTGGTATGCCTCTTATCACCTGCTATATAGGAACCTAACTATATATAGAAAGTATCTGTTAATCTGACCATTACCTCAGTTGAATTATTTACATCATACTTAATTATATTTTAACTTATATTTGCGTTCCTAATTGTTACTTAAAATGTATTTTTAAAAGATTGCACTATGATGTAGACCTGAAACAATTATAATATACACAGAGGACTGTCTGCCATGTGCTAGGAAATTCAACTGAAGGCACTGGAAATTGCTTAAAATAAATAACTTTCAAAACTAGGAGAGACAGGTGTGACCAATTCATGTATCGGGAAGGATTATCACTCAGACATCAGAAATCCATCAGAAACCTCCAGATTACTTTTCACAAAAAGCTGATTAACTATTTTTTTTTTTTTTTTGGCCACACTGCACAGCTTGCAGGATCTCAGTTCCCTGACCAGGGAGTGAACCCGTGCCCTGACAGTGAAAGTGCGCAGTTCTGACCACTGGACCACCAGGGAATTCCCCCCAAAACTGATTAACTTCTAGTGGTATACAATTAAGTTAAGGAAAAGAAAGTAAGAGGTTAAATTTGAACTAAGAAATATTAAGAGAATTTGCTGGTTAGCTGTGGAAGCTTAAGGTAAAGGTCAGGTATAAGCCATGTTATGAGTGAATAGAAACAACTGAGTAAGCTGAGTCAAGCCTCTATCTGTTCCACGAATATACACTTAGCAATTACTGTGTGTCAAACACCATGCTAGGCACTGCACACACTGGCAAACATGAGAAAGAGGTCCCTGCCTTCATTAAGATTACAGTCTAATGCAACTATCCTTTAGAATATGAAACAAGTCACATATGTAATTTAAAATGTTCTAGTAGCCATGTTAAAAGTAAAAATAAATAAGTAAAATTAATTATAATAATATACAGAATTCCCTGGAAGTCCAGTGGTTTGCACTTGGCACTTTCACTGCAGTGGCCCAGGTTCAATCTCTGGTCAGGGAACTAAGATTCTGCAAGCTGCATCGTGCGGCCAAAAAAAAGAAAAATCTAATATTTTATTTAACCAATCAAAAAAATATCATTTCAACATGCAATCAATATAAAAATTGTTAAGAGATATTTTACATTTCATATTAAGTGTATATTTTATATTCACAGCACCTATCAATTTGGATGCTAAATTTTCATTGGAAAAACTTGATCTGTATTGAGACTTCATAAAATTTACAGTTGAAAGAGTTGATTCACATACTCAAATTGTTCCAAATATACTTAAAAGTTTCCAGTAATTGAATCAATTACCAGGTTTTAAAATTTAAATTAATTAAAATTGTTACAGGGAAGAACAGAATCTGACTCCATGTTGAATCTGTTTCTTTTACTTTAACCTTTGCTTTTCACTGCTTTTGTTACTATAATCACTAAAATGATGCTGTCTATAGCATAAGCATAAATAATGGCTTGCCTCAGGAACCCTGCCCCTCTGCCTGAATGTTAAACTAAAGTGCTTTTGTTCTGCTCACAAGGAGACATTCTGACCCTGCCCACCTGTGAATGGCTGCAAAAAAGAAAAAATTAACACATCCCCTCCCCAAAACTAGCCAAGCCAGGAGATATTTTGCAAGACTTATGGCCTCTTTACTTCCTCACCTCTTCCCTCTCTCTGTTCTATAAACGAAATTGGCATCCAGACCCCGGTAAGATGGCACTATAGGACATTAGTCTGCCAGCTTCTCGGACACCCGGCTTTCCGAATAACATCACTATTCCTTGCCTCAACACCTCGTCTCCCGATTTACTGACCTGTTGTGCAGTGAGCAGAGCAAGCTTGGGCTCAGTAACAAATTTACATTAAAATTTAAAACTCAGTTTCTCAGCTGCATGCACTAACCACACATTCCAAGGCTCAACAGCCATATGAAGCTAGTGGCTACCATATTGCATAGCACAGCCCTGGGGAGTGATACAGACACCAAAAAGAAAGATAATTAGTGTTGTATGTACTTGGAACAATGATGCACTATTATGAAGGAAATAACCATAATTATGTGCTAGAAGCAGATCAAAGATAACGAATGAAGCAACTGGTTTAATAACAGGGAGTGGTGAGGACTGCAGGAATTAGAATGCATGTGTAGTCTAGAGGCATTCAAATTCAATTTAATAATACTGTCATTTGGATGGGGTGGGGTATAGTCTTCTACAGATTAGAAGGCCAGGGCTTCCCTGGTGGCACAGTGGTTGAGAGTCCGCCTGCCGATGCAGGGGACACGGGTGCAGGGATCAGATCATGTAAGGCTTTATGGCCCTTGACACAAGAATTTGCATTTTGTTCCAAGGACAATAAGGCACCTTATGGCCAAGGAGAGAATAGGTGGTTCCTAGAGCTAGGATAGTTCTGGGTTAGGAGTGGCCTTACAACAAATCTCCTTTCTCTTAAGGGGGCAACAAATCTGTCATTTGTGCACAAATGAGCCTAATTAAAACAGAAATGAGAGAAAGAGGACCAATAATGATAAGCACAGACTCTGGCCCTAATCACCCTGAGGCCCTTTGCATACTGTCTCATTTAATTTTCATAACACCTTATGAAGCTGGAGATGATGAACTCCAACTTCACTTTCTCATTTGAGGAATTAGACTCAGAGAGGTGAAGCAACCTATCCAAGGTTTCATAGCTAATAAATGGCAGTTAAAGATTTCAACACAGATCAGTCTGATTCCAAATTTCATGCCTTAAAACCAGGGTTCCCGAGCTTTCACACACGAATGCCTAAATGGCATGTTAAGAAGTCAGTCCTGCTAGAAAGTACATTTCAGTACACAGATTGAAATATGCTTGATTCTCTTTATCTCCATAGTGTTTTTTCTTCAGCTTCTCAAAGACTAATACTGGAAAAATGGAAGCAGCACAATAATGCATCCTCTGTATTTCACTAAATTGATTATAGGCTAAAGGACAAAAACCGTGTTCCTTCTTTCTTTGTTTCAGGCCATTGTAATACACATAATGGTCACTCAGTAACCCACTGAAAATGTTTTGCCTAAGATCTGACTTTGGGAGCCTCCCTCCCAATAGGTGATCTGATTAAACAGACACATAATGTTCTCCTAATCCATAAAAGTTATACCTTGCTTCCCACCTCTCTAGAAAAGAGAAAGCACATGATTTGAATCAAATGAGCTTTCCTAAGCATTTGAAAATTTCTTAATTAAAAAAAACTGAAGTAGAGAGATGTACACGTAAGGGAATCTGAGCACATTAATTATTAAATTTTTTTTGAGCAAAACGAAGGTCTTTGACCATAACCAAGGCCAAATGTGATCGTGTATACAAGGACGAGGGGGATAGCATAAACTGTAAAGTAGCAAGGCCCTGTACCTGTACATATCAAAGAGGGTTCTACAACTGGACGTCTTGGTAAGAAAGATTAGATGAAATCTGGTTTTTCAAGAAATTTAGATCTAGGAGCTCTCCTAGTTCACACCCTGCACTTCATAGATAAAGAAGCTGAGGTCCAGAAAAAAGTAATTTATCTCAAGTCACAATGCAAGTTAATATCAAAGCTGAGATTAAAACGCATGTGTCCAAACTCCCAGTGCTATTTCTGTTACATCATATTTCCTCCTTATTTTACTTCTTTCGGCAACCAATGTCTAAGCACTGGGCTTGGGAATACTGTGTCCAGTGAATGAAGACAGAGGGCAAAACTTAGAGTCCCTGCCCTTCTAAAAGATGTTAAGCTCTACAAGCCCTCCGGTCAGAAGTAAAGATCTTAGGGAAGCAGTTTAAAGTAAGCGGGCTATGCATCCCTGCAGAACTGCGTTAGAGTGATCTTGAAAGGTCCCTGGACACTTCCCTTCACGTGTCAAATAGGAAGAATAACTGTACTGCCTACCTGACAGGGCTGTCCTAAGGCCCAAATGAAATCATGAATATTTAAAGTACTGTGCAAACCTTCCCACGAAGGGAGATTATGGGCACTCAATTTGCAGCTGAAGGGGTCTTTGGTCTCAGAAGATCAGTTGGAGTCAGGCCACCGACTCACCATGACCATCAGTTTTCCCCGCGTATAAAATGGAGACGAGAACAAATGCTACCCCACACTAAGTGGTTTGGAAGAGCAAACGTGCACGAAGCTGGTCATTTACTTTCCCAGCCGCACCTCCTCACCTTCTGCACCTGCTCTGCGAGCGCCACGAGGTCTAAGGGGTCTCCGACCCGGTGGGTGTGGTAGGGGCTCACCAGGGCCAGGCCGCCGGGGGTCGGGGTGAGCTCCACTAGGGCTCCTGCGACACACACCCAGGAACACAGGCCGTGAGCACCCGCCCTCGGCCTCCCGCGGAGCCCGGCAGACTAGCTACTCCGGGAGGGCTTCGTTTCCCCAACTGACTCCCGCCCCGCCTAACTCCCCAACCTGCCGCCGACAGAACTCCTTGGTTTTCTATGACTCCCTGGGTCGTCCCGGGCGTTGCAGCGTCTTCCATGACAGCAGCGTCTCCCACGACAGCAACGTCTCCCACGACAGCACCTTCTCCCTACTACCCGGGCGGTGCGAGGCTGCAGAGCATGCGCAAAAAGGCCCATGGGCGGAGCTTCCGTGTTCCCTGGCCATTGGGCGTCGGAGCTGCCCGGAGCTCGGAGGCGTGGCTGCGGCTGGCGCTCCTGGTTCCGCTGAGGGGCGGGGTCCAGGCTGGGGGAAGGCCAAAGAGGCGGTGCAGCCTCCTGGGCGTGCGCTGCCGGGTTTGGGAGGCGGGGCTTCACTCGGGGCGGGGCTTCACTCCGGGGCGGGGATTCCCGGGGGTGGGACTCGGGCTTCCCTGGCCTCCCTGGCCGGTGACCAGCGGTCCCGTTAGGTCTGAGCGGCCATGGCGGCGCGCTCGTTGAGGCTGCTGACCACATTGCTGGCTGTCGCCACCGCTGCCTGCCGGGCCGAGGCGGAGTCCGAGGCGGAATGGGACATGACGGCGCCTGATCTGCTCTTCGCGGAGGGGACCGCGGCCTATGCTCGCGGTGACTGGGCCGGGGTGGTTCTGAGCATGGAGCGAGCGTTGCGTTCGCGGGCCGCCCTGCGCGCCCTTCGCCTGCGCTGCCGCACCCGGTGTGCCGCCGACCTCCCATGGGAGCTGGACCCGGACTCGCCTCCCAGCCTGGCGCAGGCCTCGGGCGCCGCCGCCCTGCACGACCTACGCTTCTTCGGGGGCTTGCTGCGCCGCGCCGCTTGCCTGCGCCGCTGCCTCGGGCCGTCGGCCACCCACTCGCTCAGCGAGGAGCTGGAATTGGAGTTCAGCAAGCGGAGCCCATACAACTACCTACAGGTCGCCTACTTCAAGGTGCAGATCTGCCTGGGCCCCGGGGCGGCCGGGGTCCTTCTGGGTGTGGTTGGCCCGGGGGAACTTAGGGGGCCAGGGAAGTGCTCGCGGAGAGGGAAAGTGGCGTCTTGGCCAGGGAGCTCTTCCCGGATCCAGGGAGAGCAGAGACCCTGCCGGGAGACCAGCCTCGCCGGTTCGCATAGGCAGATGGTGACTCCAAAGATCCAGACGGGGTTAAGGCACAGACCAAGCAAAACTTGGTCTTGTGTTCCCCGAGAGGCCTCTTAGAGGGAACTACAGCGACAGCTTGGGTCTCTGATCCTAATTTTGTTGTAAGTTACCGAGTGAGAAGCTAAGACCTTTCTACAGTATCTTCCTTCCGGTTCGCTCTTCAGTGATGCTTTTCCTGCTGCCCGAGTGCAACAGCTTTCTTTCAGGACATGAGGTTGCCACGTCGCCAGTAGAGGCTGTCTGGCCCCTCCCTGTAAGGGACCCTCTGGCTGGTCGGTCAGGTTTCCAAAGAAAATGAGTACTTTTAGGAATTCCAGAGTGCCTTAAGTCCAAGTGTATACATAGATTTGGAGTGCTTCTGATTTATGATGATAATGAGAGCCAACACATACTTTCAGGCACTATTAAGTACTTTGCGTTTATTAATTCATTTGCCCAGATCCTGGCAATATCCTGTAAAGTAAGCGCTGTTATTAGCCCATTTTGTTGGGGAAAAAAGGAAGAAGGAGGGACTTCCCTGGTGGTGCAGTGGTTAAGAATCTGCCTGCCAATGCAGGGGACATGGGTTCGTTCCCTGGTCTGGGAAGATCCCACATGCCGCGGAGCAACTAAGCCCGTGCACCACAACTACTGAGCCTGCATGCCACAACTACCGAAGCCCGCGCGCCTAGAGCCCGTGCTCCGCAACAAGAGAAGCCACTGCAATGAGAAGCCTGCGCACTGCAACGAGCAGTAGCCCCCGCTAGCTGCAACTAGAGAAAGCCCGTGCGCAGCAATGAAGACCCAACGCAGCCAAAAATTAATTAATTAATTAATTAATTTTTAAAAAAAAAAAAAAGGAAGAAGGAGCTGTGCCGGGTATCTATTATATCCATAGTTTAACAGACCTTCAATTCAACCTAAAGAGAGATTTAGAAAATCTTGGGGACCTCGAATTTCCACCTTTCCACAAGCATCATGCTTACACAGTTCTGGTCCATTCCTCCTAGTTTCCCAGAAGAGTGCTGGACTTGAAACCAAAATGATTGGGCTATGTCTTTGGTCATGTCACTTAACAGCACTTTTTAAAATTCTTTGACATTTATTGAATACTTACTACATCCCAGTTCTTGTACAGGTAATTAAAATGCTTGACTTTATATTTTTTTGTGTTACCTTGCTTTGCTGTTAAGAGTCACTTTAGTAGTAAGGGCTACTGAAAGGGTGTGTACATCCAGCTGTGGGAACGCAAAGGAGGAGGAATCTAGCTTTGTGTCAGAGAAGTTAGACTTGAAAGAAGAGGTGACATTTGAAGCTGATCTCAAATATTGTTAGAGGAGAGGAAGGATGGCCATTCACGATAGAGTGGGGCCAGACTGGGAAGAGAATTCTGCAGGCTTCAAGGAGCCATCGTCAGAACTGGGCTGTAGAATGCTAATTCTGGAAGCCATGTGACGTAGGCCTTGGGAGAAGGAGAAAGTGGTGGCAGGGTGAACCATTAGGAGATGACTTCAGTTGTCCACATAAGAGAAAGAAATGAGGTGCTTCGTGCTTAGAGGGTAAAGAAGGGCTGGGGGTGGGGTGAGGGGTGTGGAGATGGAGAACAGAGAAAGGCAAGAGCAGTGCTGAAAGATATGGGAGAGAGAATCAATCCATAAAAGGGACAGACTTGAGAGAATTTCTAATTTTATAATTAAGGCAACTGAGGTACAGAGATGGCGACTGTTGACCGTGGGTCATCTAGCTATTTGGGGGTCACAGCCAGGGCTGACTTCTTGTTTAGTGTGCATTTACTAGTACTGATGATCAGAAAAGAAAAAATATTTTTCTTAGCATATTACTAATGTGCTAGGATTTACATTTATTGAGCTAACATTTATTTTATTTTATTTTTTTAAAGGGAACGCTATTTATTTATTTTTTTGGCTGTGTTGGGTCTTTGTTTCTGTGCGAGGGCTTTCTCTAGTTGCGGCGAGCAGGGGCCACTCTTCATCGCGGTGCGCGGGCCTCTCACTATCGCGGCCTCTCTTGTTGCGGAGCACAGGCTCCAGACGTGCAGGCTCAGTAGTTGTGGCTCCCGGGCCTAGTTGCTCCACGGCATGTGGGATCTTCCCAGACCAGGGCTCGAACCCGTGTCCCCTGCATTGGCAGGCAGATTCTCAACCACTGCGCCACCAGGGAAGCCCGAGCTAACATTTATTAAGCACTTAATATGTGCCCAGAACCATGTGTTAGAAGCTGGATATATATCCTCTCATTTAACTTTCCCAGCAATCCTGTGAGGTAGTGAGTACTATCTTCAGATAACCGATTAGAGAACTGAGTTTAGAGAGTAAACTTTAACTTGCCTAAAGCCCCAACAAGTGAATAATTAAACCTACTTTTGTCACCAGTCTGACACCAGAACCCATGTAATTAATCATTAGATCATCAGTGATTTTTTTTTTTCAGGTAAAAATCATGTTTTCCATTTAATTGATACCGTTTCCTCTCTCGGGTGCTACTTTGGAAATGATTAGGTCCCCACCTCTCAAGAACATTGCATCTGAACAGGCTGAGACAGAGCCAGTGTGAACACAGACCCCAAACCAGGGCTTTTGGAATAACAAGAACAGAAAAAAGCAGCCTTTCTCTTCACTTACAAAGGGAGTCACTCAGAGGGTCCAAAACTCTGTTTTCCAAACGTAGAAAACCTGGAGCTCAATGCAAACTGGAAACCAAAATATATCAGAAATGAAGCATAGCGCTTCGTCAAATACTCAAGGGCTGATCATCCTGCCTCTTCTACAAGGAATGGCCCTGCTCCAGTATTATTATTTTTTTTTTTGCAGTACGCGGGCCTCTCACTGTTGTGGCCTCTCCCGTTGCGGAGCACAGGCTCCAGATGCACAGGCACAGCGGCCATGGCTCACGGGCCCAGCCGCTCTGCGGCATGTGGGATCTTCCCGGACCGGGGCACGAACCCGTGTGTCCTGCATTGGCAGGCAGGCTCTCAACCACTGCACCACCAGGGAAGCCCCGCTCCAGCATTTTTAAAGGAAGATGTTTTGTTTCTATTTCACTTTCCAACTGGGTATAAAATCTACTAAAAGGGATACAATGAATCAGAATAAATCAGCTCGCTCACAAGAGACACTCTCAGATAATGATTTTTGATTGCTGAGATTATTCAGCACGTTATTTCAAAGTGGCAACATTCAGGACAATCTGAGAAGAGAATTCAGAAATGGCAGCTACATTCACTGTTAGGTTCATGTGAGATACACATACATACAACCCATTTTTCAGTGTATATGTCAAGGGGCCAAGACCCCTGATCAGCACAATACGTTATTTTGTACATTACACGCACAGAACAACAGAGGGAGAGACACTTCCTTGGAGAGGTTCATACACTCTGAAGGAGGCTGGAGCCCAGTGCCCCAGGCCTTCATTAGCTAGACCCCTTCTGTTCTTTGGTCGCGGCGACCTCAGAAGCAGCCGATTCCTCTAATCGATCTGCTGGCTTCTCCTCCTCGTCCTCTTCCTGGGGATAGAGGTCCGGGTACTTCTGCATGCACTCCTGCATGGCCTGGAACTGGTCTACACAGTCCGACCCCTTGACATCCTCTGTGCTACAGTGAAAGCAGAAAAAGGCCGCCTTGAACTGTTCCCCACACGGGCCGTTGGCCATGCCCCCAAGGCACGGGCAGTTACAGCTGAGGTCTCCATTGGGCAGGATCCGTCAGTGCTCCTCTTACGGATCGTTGGGGTCGTCGGCCACCAGCCCCGCGTTGCTTGGAGTTTCATGGTCTTCTTTGGTCACAAATATGATTCGATCCTTCCCTTCCTGCCGGCAGTAGGCCACAGTGCAGCCCAGCACTCCGACCTCGCGGCGCTTGGCGGCGGCCTCACGCCGTGACCTCTCCGCTGCCAGGCAGGCGGCTTGGAGACCCGCGCGGACCCACCTAGTGATTTATTTTGGATTCTACATATGAAGCTGTATAATTTTGATATGCTGGAGTCCATTGCTATGGGCATGATTGTGA